TCGCAAAACCAAATCGAAATGTGCCCCCAGGGCCCTCCGAAAGGGGGGGGGGGAGAATGAAGGGCCCAATCAAATTAATACTCTCGGTGACGACAATGCTAGCCCTCGGACTCAGATACTCGCCCAACGTCCGGGCTGGCTCTGTACATGTGGAAAGAGCTTCACGGGGTTGCATGGTCTGAGAACGCATGCCGGAAGAATGAAATGCGAGGGTGCTCCACGCAGTAAACGCCGTCGCAAAACTACTACTCCTGTGGCAGTTTCTGAGTCGTTAGGGAACGACGGGCAGGGTGAAACCCACTCGCCCGGAGAGGCCCATGACGTCGATTGCGGAGGAGCACGTTTGATGATTTTTGAGGAAGTGCGTTCCAAGATCAGGTTTCCACCTGCGAGCGATAAGGTGGTGTGGTGTAAGTTGGAGGCTACATTATGTGAGATACTTAAACATGATTTAAACAAGAAGTCGTTAGGCGACAAGCTTACAAAATTTGGTGATGTAATATATAAACACTGCTCCCGTGAGTTCGGTGCAGTAGAAAAGGCACAGCTGGGTGCCAAGCAGAATACTAGCAGGAGGCAGAGGGACATTCTGAAGTGTCGGGCAGACAAGAATGCCCTCAGAAAACGGTTCAAAGCCGCTACAGGCAGCGAACGGGAGGGGCTGTACAAAGTTTGGTTGCATTTAAAGAACAAACACAGTGCCCTCTGTCGCGCTGAGCGTTTCTGTACCAACAGGAGAAGAACCAAAAGGGAGCGAGAGAAATTCTGTAGGGACCAGTATCAGTTTGCCCGAGGTCTATTCGAGCAATCGAAGTCTGGGACTCTGGTTGTCAGTAAGGAAGAGCTTGAGTTACATCTACGCAAGATGTACTCTGACAAAAAGAGGAGAGAGCCTCTCGATGACAATCCAGAGATCCTTAGCGGCCTCAAGCAGCCTGAGTTGCCGAAGGTACCATTTAAAATGGTACCTCCCTTTTGGTCTGAGGTTGAGGAAGTTGTCAAAAAGGCCAGCGGCAAGTCTGCCCCAGGTCCGAATGGTGTTCCGTACGTTCTTTACAAGCGTTGTCCGAAAATCCTAAAAATGCTTCACGTCTTGTTGAGACAAGCGTGGATCCGCAAACACATATGTCCAGAGTGGCAAAAGGCAAATGGGGTCTACATTCCCAAAGAGCAGGACTCGAAGTGTCTTTCCCAATTCAGGCCCATCTCGCTGTTGAATGTCGAGGGTAAGATATTCTTCTCGGTCATGGCTCGCAGGCTCACACAGTATTTGATGGCTAACAAGTACATCGATACGAGTGTTCAGAAGGGTGGTATTCCAGGCGTTCCTGGGTGCCTTGAACACGCGACCATAATTTGGGAGGCTATCCAGAGAGCCAAGCATGAGAGAACCGAATTGCACGTAATATGGTTGGACTTAGCCAACGCCTACGGGGCAGTCCCCCATAAGCTACTGTGGCGAGCCCTTCGCATGTTTCACGTACCGGCACAGATCAATCAAATGATCGAGCAATATTTCTCTAAGTTCGCTTTGCGCTTCTCTACCTCGACGTTTCACGAGTTGGACTGAGCTGCAGATTGGGATAGCTATGGGCTGTACGATCTCACCAATACTGTTTGTCATGGCCATGCAGATCATGTTGGACGGGGCGGCCGGCTACGGACAAGGCCTTCAAATTGGGGACCACTGGATGCCCCCACTACGCGCATTTATGGATGACACGACTATTATAACGGGCAGCGAGGAGTCTGCCCGCACGATCCTAAAAAGATTGGACGCTGTGGTCCAATGGAGCGGAATGCAGTTCAAACCGCAGAAGTCGAGGAGTCTGTCTATCCTTAAGGGCAAGGTGTCGACAACCAGTTTTACGGTGGCAAGGAACAAGATCCCCACGGTTCTGGAGGAACCGGTGAAGAGCCTCGGTTGCGTTTACGATTCGAAGTTATCTGATAGAGCGGAGGTCCGGCGAATACACGAGTCACTGGCTACAGGCCTGCTCGCGATCGAGTGTTGCAGCCTGATCGGGAAATTCAAGGTATGGTGTCTCCAATTCATGTTGATTCCGAAGCTCCTATGGCCACTGTTAGTCTACGAGGTGACGATGACTGCAGTAGAAACCATGGAGAGGAAAATCAACACAGCCATGAGGAAGTGGATTGGTGCACCGCCTTGTCTGACCGACGTGGCTCTGTATTGCAAGCAGGCTAAGCTGGTACTTCCGTTCAAATCAATAACCGAAGAGTTAAAAGTCGGCAAAGTAAGACTCGCCATGCTCTTGCGCGTGGTCTTCAGACCCAAATGTCATCGCTGTCCAGCCCGCTCTCAAGACTGGGCAGAAGTGGAGAGTCCTCGATGCGATTGAATCTGCGCAGAACGCACTAAAATTGAGGGAGATAATGGGTTACACTCTGCTGATCTGTTGGCGACAAATTCCGCTATCATCAATAATGAACTGCATTTCTAATGTTGGACTGTTTGTGTTAGCACTTCGTGTTAGCAGTCTGTCAATCTTTCCACAAGGGACTGTGATAAACATTCTGAGTGTTTTTCGTTGGCACAGGAGCGGAGCAAAGATGGGGCGACCCGTTTGCTATGAAGCTGAAACTAAGACTACCAGACTACCAGACTACCAGACGGGTTACACTCAAACCGACCGTCGAGGCCTAGGGCACGGGAAGGTCAATTGGTGGTTAAAGGCCTCAGCCAAAGAACGCCGAGACATGGTAATACAACAGGTGAGGGACCAAAAAAAACGAGGTTCGTTTCCAGTAAGCAGCCCAGCAGTCGCAGCAGGGCCATTGGGTCAGCCTGGAGAGCGCATTGCCAAGAATACTCAAATGGGGTGAGATCTGGCGAATGACCCCGCTGCGACTGAGCTTTATCGTTCGTTCGGCGTACGATGTATTACCGTCCGGTGTTAACATGGTTAAATGGTCTGCTACTAACGATCCGACTTGCCCGTTGTGCAAAGCAAAGCAGACTTTTTAGCACGTCCTAGCCGCGTGCAGGAAAGCCCTAGGCCAAGGCCGATATACCTGGCGACACAACAAGGTGCTAAAAGAGTTAGCAGCCGTTGTTGAATGAGGGCTAACGCTAGAGCCAGTTCTACCATCGTCCCCATACGTTTCCTCAAGGCTTGGCAGATTCAAAAAGGTAAGGTCGACAGAAACGCATTCGCTCCATCTATGCTAGACTCTGCGAGGGATTGGTTACTGGCGGTTGATCTGCCAGGCCATGAAAGGTCCCCCGAGTTAATTCGGAAGACCGGCCTGCGACCTGACATAGTTCTCCACTCTGCGGAGAAACGGCAGCTCATCCTGATTGAGCTCACCGTCCCGTTTGAGTCGCGTTTGGACGAAAATCACACGTACAAGCTCGAGAAATACGGTGATTTAGCAGCCGGTCTGAGGAGAGACGAGGCGTACACGGTACGTGTCTTTGCCGTCGAAATAGGAGCGAGAGGTCTCGTCTCCACTTCACTGTACAATGTGATTAAAGAACTAGGATTGCGAGGTAATGAACGGAAACGAACACTTAAAAAACTGGGCGAGGTAGCCGAAAGGGCCTCTAGCTGGCTTTGGACGCAACGAAACAACGTAGGGGTCGGGCCTCGGTGAGCTGGTCCGGGTTTCTAGTGGAAAAGGGTTTCTCACCCCTTGAAAGTCTATCGTGTCCGAATTGTCTGCCAGTGATCCTCTGCCACATGCTAACAAAAGTCCAACATGTGTCCGGTAAACCAATCGTAAGCTTGTCGCTCGGTCGTCCAGGTATGCAGACTGCTTTAATTATGCTACCGCGGCGGCTTCTTATCTCATAGTACCTTCTGCAAAAGCACCAAGTCGTCTTGTCCCTATCCGAAAGAAAACACCATCCGGTAATTTCGTGCAGCAGGGTACCAGCCCTGAGCTTCATGAACTCAGGTGGGCCCACCTCCGAAAGTGTCTAGGAGAATCGTGGGCCGAAACACTTGTCGACGAGGATAACTTCTACTGATGACTGGTAGATCCCTGTTGTATTTGCTCCCTGTGAGTTTATTCCTACTCCTAATGGGAACAAAGAAGACACAAACAATAGATTTCCTGGCATTTTTTGCTTTATCTCGTTGGATGTATACTAAAGTAACAGTTGATTACAGTGTAGTAAATAAATGAATCCTAACTGAAATGAAAATATTTACTACATGCATAAATAATTGCCTGTTTTACTAGGACAGGCACGGTTTCACGATGCTAGGATATAATTTGTCATATGCACACATGTTAGATGTATATATATATTTTGAAAAAAAAGCAACAATCCTGCAGGCAGTCTGAATCTGTGCGACATCTAACATGGATCTTCACCGTGACAATACTGCCCCTCTTCCAAGATGGTATTCTGTCTCACAGAAACGATTGACGATCCAGACTTTCCTGGTTACGGTACTTTGTGGCAAAAAACGCATGTTTAAAGTGTTGAACATTTTGCACTTCTGCTGACACTCTAGTCTGGAATCAAACCTGTTGTTGTTTCCGCCACAACCGCCGTAAATGAACTATTGACAGGCTTGGGCGGTCTTGTTGTAAAAGTATTTCTCTAAGTTATCGTCACATGGTCCCGTGTCTGGTGGAAGATAGCAGGCATTGTCTGAAAGAGACTACTGACAATTTAAATAGCAGTCATTTTCAGTCAAAAATCTGTTATCGTTTTCCTGACAACCGCCGTAAATAAATGGCTCGCACATTCTAGAAATGAAGTTGTAGAAGAACCTCGGGAAACTTCCTTTACACGGGCCCGTTTCTGGCGGTAAGAAACAGTTATATTTTGTCGGTATAGGAATCACTGTACCGCTATATGTCTTTTCACATTCCTGTTGTGTCTCAAATCTGTTAGCATTGCCCTGACATCCGCAGTATATAAACTCTTCACATATTTCTAAGCTGGCGTTGTAGTAAAAGTTTCGAAAAAGTGCATAGCATGGTCCGGTTTCCGACGGTAGCAAGCAAATATCGACGCGTGGTTAAGGAGTTGTTGTGCCCTTACATGCATTCTCACATTCTCGCTGTGTATCAAATCTGTTATCATTCCCTTGACACCCGCCATAGATAAATTCTTCACACTTTTCTGTGTTGGCGTTATAGTAGAATTTCCTAATTAATGCTTCACACGGGCCGGTTTCCTTGGGCAACAAACAAATATTGACTGACGAATCTTTGCATCTGACCTCGCATTCCTGTCTTGTCTCAAATCTGTTATCGTTTCCCTGACAGCCGCCGTAAATAAAGTCTTCGCACATTTCAGAAGTCGAGTTGTAGAAAAACTTGGGAAAGGAAGCTCTGCATGGTCCGGTTTCCGGCGGTAGCAAGCAAGTATCGACTGGCGGTTGAGGAGTTGTTGTGCCGTAACATGCATTCTCACATTCCTGTTGTGTCTCAAATCTGTTATCATTTCCCTGACATCCGCCGTATATAAACTCTTCACATGTTCCTGTGCTGGCGTTGTAGTAGAATTTTCGAAAAAGTGCAAGGCATGGCCCTGTTTTTGAAGGCTGCAAGCAAGTATCGATTGGCGACTTAGTTGGTGGTGCATTGCTACATTTTTTCTCGCACTCCTGTCTTGTCTCAAATCTGTTTTCGTTTCCCTGACAGCCGCCGTAAATAAAGTCTTCGCACATTTCAGAAGTCGAGTTGTAGAAGAATTTGGGAAAGCTTGCTCTGCATGGTCCGGTTTTCGACGGTAGCATGCAAATATCGACGCGTGGTTGAGGAGTTGTTGTGCCCTTACATGCATTCTCACATTCTCGCTGTGTATCAAATCTGTTATCATTCCCTTGACACCCGCCATAGATAAATTCTTCACACTGTTCTGTGTTGGCGTTATAGTAGAATTTCCTAATTAATGCTTCACATGGGCCGGTTTCCTTGGGCAACAAACAAATATTGACTGACGCATCTTTACATCTGACCTCACATTCCTGTCTTGTCTCAAATCTGTTTTCGTTTCCCTGACAGCCGCCGTAAATAAAGCTTTCGCACATTTCAGAAGTCGAGTTGTAGAAAAACTTGGAAAACCTAGCTCTGCATGGTCCGGTTTTCGCCGGTAGCAAGCAAATATCGACACGTGGTTGAGGAGTGCAAGCGCGCAAGCATTCATCGCTGGAGTTAAACCTATTTCCATTTCCCCCACACCCGCCATATGTAAACAGTCGACATGCCCGACGGCCAGAATCGTAGTAGTATTTCTTGATGTTGGCTTTGCAGAATCCGGTCTGTGCGGGCAATTTACAGTCTGCAAAAGAAAACAATTAAAAGTAAAACACAACCAACACATTATAAATTTATTTAGTTAGTGACTATTGCCATTGATTACTCTACCCTACTAAGGCGTTGCGAGTCTGACTCGTAAGCCAGCATACCGCGATCGAAACCCACTGCAGGCTGCGTGGAGTTTTGTCGTGGTATGATATGGGACGTCGCAGGTCGACCCAGCCTAAATTGGGTACCAGGATGGGCTGTCCTGGGAAAGTAAAGACAGCCGGCGTAATGCTGACCACATTACCCACCTAGGGCTGATGGTCTGTAAAAATATAGGACGCTCTGACCATATGCCCGATGCGCCGAAAGGCGTGAACAGGGAACTTTACTTTACTCTACCCTAGCTGCTCAATATCAGCATTTCCCCCATACTCATTAACTGGATAGCAGCAGCACTTTTCAAGAGACAGGTTGTTTTTAAACGTAAAACATAGAGCTCCAATGATCATCTTTATTCGAAGTCCTCATCAATATTTTAACAACCGAGGTGACAAAATATCAAATCACAGATGAATGAAGAACAATCTCATACGATGATGACATAGTATTGCACTGCCAATGTGAGAGCAGTGGCAGAATTGCAGAACTCCAGAAGGAACAGAAACGCGTTGCAGATTGGTGTTGAGCCTCCGGAACTCTTATTAACCCTGCAAAAGCGTCTGCAACTTGGGTCTCTTTCAACAACCACATAGTGCACACAATTACGACCTCTGTAAATATAAATGGTGAAGAGACAGCAAGGACTGCATTATTGAAAAACCTGGGAGATAGGTGTGATCGAAGCCTTAGCTACAGATTCCAAGTGGAGAATATGATTACCAAGTCCAGAGAGGGTTTGGCTGCAGTGAGAGTTATTTCTACCATGTGGACAACAAGGACTGATAGTCATCCTCTCTCAGGGTTTTTGTCATAGAATATGCACGGGCAATACTTACCCTCAGCATTACATAAATGGGCAGGCTGGAAAAGGTACTAAATAAAGCAATACGCATCATACTTGACTTCACCAAAGACACATCATGTAGACCAATAAGATACCTATTCGATCTTCCAGATACAGACAGCAGGCTTAAAATGCGCCAAGCGTGTGGATACCTCAACATCTTTGAGGTTTTTACACACCCACTGCAACGATGAACTGAATACACGTAAAGACAACGAAACCGGTCTTGGTTAGGCGGAGTAGAGACAGTACACTGTCACTTCAAGAGATAAACCGCAGAGAGATGAAATGAATACAAGCAGCACTTTGTGATGGTTTCACACTGCCCTGAATTGACGCCACCAAGAGTCTAATTCTCTTACGTTGACCACTTTCAGCTAGATCAGATCACATTTCTGCTCTCTTTCCTGTCTGCTATATTTGTGGTGACGTTTCTGGTCTCGATCTCAATAGGTTTTGGATTGTGTTTTCAGTATTTGTCGCTTTCTATTTTTTGTGGTTTCCGCTCAATTGTCTGCTTTCCTAACTTGGCTGGCCTTCTGCTGCGCTCCGGATCATTGGATGTTGAGTCGATTTTGTGTGGATTTCATTGGCCGTTTGCTGTTTCCAAAGAGAGAGGATTGCCTATCCTAAGAAGGACCGGCGGTTGCTTGCTTTGGGTAGGTACTGAAGGAAATAATGGTGGGGTCTGGTGTTATTTGGTTGTCTTCTCGTGACCTTGTTGTAAAGTGCTTCTCCTACATAAAGTTTAGGTACTTTTGGCGTTGGTGGTGTCGTCTCTGGCAATAATGTTTGTGGTAACGGTATCGGTAACGGTTTGACTTCAGGTTTTGGCTGTCGGAACGGCTCTTCTGGTGATGACCATGGTACATCATCCTCTTGCAATTCTGTGTTAAAGTAGTTAAGATCCTCCAACTCCCTAATGCGTTGGTTTATTTGTATAGTGGGCTCGTCCGGAAACTGCCCCATCAGCGGCGCCGGTATTTTCTAGTCTGGTAATTGATATGGCTTTTTCTGGGTCTCGGCTTCCTGAGGTTTGGGTGACTGTATTTGCTGCCTTCTTGCTGCTTCTTTTCGTGCTTTCTCTCTTTCCTCCATAACTCTGTTGGTTGCTTGTCTGTTGTTTTCTTCGAATGCTCTGCGCAACTTTTCCTCTGTTTCAGCAAGTGCTTTCGTGATCATTATGACTTCTTTCGCGAGAAGCTGTTGGGTCTCCCGCAAATCAGTGATACTTGTCTCGTCTTCCCGTGCTTTTGTTGGCTGTTCCCTCTGTATCTGGATAGTAGCAAGTGCATTCATGACCTCCTAGTTGAAATTCGTCATCTCTGTTGCCATCCGTTTCTGGGTGTCAAGAGTCGCCTGCATGATAGCTCTCAGGCTTGTTATTTCATCTCTGTCTTCATCTCGTTGGGATTTGGATGCTTCTTTCTCGTCTCTGAGAGCTTGGATGTCACTTTTAAGTCGAGCCATCTCGTTTTTCAGTTTGGTGGTGATAGCTGTCGTTATGCCTTTTGTTGCTTCGTGTCTTCTGCGGGTCTCATGATATGGAATCTTTTCCCGTATGGCCGTGGTAGCTATGTCTCGGCACTGTTGCAGATAGGGACACCCCAGGTATCTGGCGCTGTGCTGGCCTTAGCAGTTTGCGCACTTTCTGTTAGGATTTGGAGACCTAAAGTCTGTGTCCAGCTTTGCCAGAGGGCAGTTTTTGAAGGCATGTGGTTCTGAACAGTATCGGCATACTTCTTGTTCGCTCACACAAGTGGCTCGGGAGTACCAGGCTTTTTGACAACGAGAGCACTGGATCACCTGTGGTACGTATTGCTCTGTTCTTTGCATTCTTTGATTTAAGTAGACTTTATCCGGGATGTCTTCTCCTTCTGATGTTATCACTGCTACTGGTAGTGGTGTAGTTTTGAGCCCAGTCTTTCTGCTTGGTTGATTGTGATACTGGGGTTATCTTTCCTTATTTGTTGTAGTATTTCTTCGTTACTCCATTGTAGGCTGACTCTTCAGATCACCCAGCGTCTTACATTCTGGAAGATTGTAGCCGTGACAGTTATCTCCTCAGCCAGTCGGAGTTCTTTCTTTCCGTTGTGTTGGATGTCATCCAGCATGTCTGAGGTACGGTTGGTTCTGTTTAGTGAAGCTATCACTCCCTCTCGAGTTCTTCTAATCTTTGCGACAGCACTCTTGCCTAACATGATCTCCAGCATATTGAACAACGTTAGTGTTGCTAGTGTGGTGATTGCTGTCCGGTCCAAGCTGATCTGTCGGAGAAATATTGTTGCAGGAAATTCATAGCTGCCTGTCTTTCGTCGACCTGGAGAAGTTTCTGGTGTTGGCCGTGTTGTTTCGGGTGACGCTGTAACGTCACTCAGGTCCTCACTAGTAGTCGGGGCGTCTTCCTTTGATCCGGCAGTAGCTGTCTCCGTCTGCCTGGCTGCCCAGTTGGATCGGGTGGATCAGTCAGTGGGTTGTTTCCTCTGTCCATTGCGCTTTCTATTGGGTTTGTTTCTTCGAGACATGATGATTGCGGAGAAGGCCTCTCGCTCTGATAAATGCTTTGGTGCTGATGCTGCCTATCCTCAAAAGGACCAGCAGATATTGTATTGTGTTGTATAGGTTTCAATCCTATCTGGTGACGATTGCGGAGAAGTCCTCTCCCTCTAAAGAATGCTTTAGTTCTGATGCTGCTTATCCTCAAAAGGACCAGCAAGTACTGTATTGTGCAGATATCAATACTATCTGGTGACGATGCACCAAGAGTCGATGCAGAAATGAAAGCACTGGTAGAGGAACACACGTCACTGGAAGAAATATACAGACGTTTCTGAAATTCTTCAGAAGTGAAGTGCATGGGCTTTCACGGCCAGAACCAAAAGGAAAGTCATAAAAGAAGACACTGGAGCCTTTGCTTCTACCACCAGCAACATGACAAAGGACGTCGTGGCTGTGACAAAGGCCTAGAATGGCTGAAAACTCAGGATTTCATCAATGCCTGTTTGCTCAGTGACTCAATGGGTGTGTTACAGAAAACTAAGGCGGGGTACATACGGAAGCAGTGGCTCCATTTGATATAGAAAGCAGCGTTTTCCCCAAATCACCTTCATTTTTGTCCAAAGGGTTATCGGTGTGAAAGGCAATGAGAGAGCAGAAGCTTTGGCTGGTAGTGCGAATATCAGTAATGGGCCATTTATGAACAGGAGAGACATCATCAATGCCATACGAGAGACTAAACGCGGTGAGGCTTTCAGTTTCGTGGAAAGTGATTTTTTTTTTTAAACTGTATAGACCAGCTATTTTTTTTTTCAAATACAATACACCCGTTACCGTCTCTCCAATGACTGTTGGCTGTAATAAATCTCCAACACAGTTTATCCCTTGTCTAGGCTAAATATTCTCTAAGGGTGCCGCGGCGAAAACAGTTTGTGAACCGCTGCCCTAGATGATTATTTTAGTGGGAATGTCCAGTTGGCCCACATTCACACACACTTACACACACTCTCACACACTCTCACACACACTCTCTCTCTCTCTCTCACACACACACACTCACATACACACACACTCACACACACTCACATACACACACACAGCACAGGTTACACAGGTCTAGACTTTGGTTATTTGAACTCTCTTCCACATTGTTTACATGCTCCTATACTACCTTATCTATTTCGGCCTCTTTATGCATCAATTCATCACCTAGTGATGTAGAATCAGTCAGTGTAGCTTAATGTTAATTCACCAACACATCCGCTTGGATGGAGAATGTAAAACAAACATACAGGTGTACAAATATCTTACAATCTTTCTGTGCAGTAACGGTTTGCAACAGGAGGACAGTCACAACTGAAACAACCACGGTCACTTGCATTCTCGCGCCGGCTTGTACTAA